AAAAACCCCGCAACTTCGCTGTGGATGGAAGTCTATTTTTAGAATTCCTGGTTTTCTCTTGGCGGCACCCATATAGTGCTGCACTATGATAGTAAATCATTTGGTATGAAACACCCACTATGAGGAGCAACCAAAATTCAGCGGATCGACCAAAATTTAGGGTCGAATAGGTCGGAATTGATAAAATTTTGCTAATGAAATGGTAGCCCACGTACTAAGTAAAGCTGCCCAGGTGATAATTTTGCTGTAATATACCGGTAGTTGGCTTGTATTATTGTTTAATGCAGGCCTAGCTTCGGGCCTATTATTCCGACTCTGAATTGCTGAATTTTGATCGCTCCACTAATCTATCCGAACGTACATCAGATACTTGAAGACCGGCCCAAACAGGTCACAGGATTGGAGCCTGAATAATTATGTAACCGGTTAAAGGACTGGTTTTTGTTCGGTATGGCCTAAATTTAGCCGACTAAGCCTACTAAGCCGACTAATATAATATCGACTTAAACACTATATACCATTATATAATTCGATGAATTTATAATTCACAGTAAACATTCCTTCAATTTCTTTGATAAAGGTGAGATTTCATCATTTGTTCCAAATGATGGTGAAGAGCAAAGTTCTACTCCAGCAACATCTCTATCATCAACTCGATAATTTAATGGAACTTCTTTTTAATGGTTGTCATGGTGAAAGATTTGAACATTTTTTATTTATATAGTCTATTATGTTATTGATATATTGTGCATGTAATTCGGTTTGGAAAAGGATAATGCATAATTACAATCTAATAGAATGGAATGCACATTTGAGTATGTTTACAGATTAATTTTCTATGTTCTGCAACACTAATTCCAATTGATTTTATAATTATTTGATAGCTTTCTAAAGAATAAAATAAAAATAAAAATATAACGACAGGGTGAAACCTGAGTCACCAGCTAGTAAAATTCGTTATGTAGAGTGAAATTTGCTATGTAGATCACATGAGGGTTGAAATCCGCTTTTGTATAATAAAAAAACATAGCAAAACTCGGATTTCACCCTAACCTTAACTCAAACTTAGATTTCACTCAGGCTTCACCCTGTTCTAAAATATATATTACATCAAAATGACGGTAAATATCAAATATGTAACAAAGGTAAATGTAATTAAAACATAAAAAATTAAATACACAATTATTTTTCTTTACAATATCCTTCCATTTTTAATACTAAATATATTAGAAATTTTTCTCATCCAAATGTTCTTTTGCATCAAACAAAACCGAATCAGAAGAGACACCAGGCGTTACAGATTCCAAATGCGATGATGAATGGTTATTAGAAGTTTTTGAATTACTATTTATTGTTGAAGTCGCGGCAGATTCTCCTGCAGAACGTTTTGAATCTGGTAATATAAATGGAAATGGAAATGTAGGACTATAGTTTGGTTTATTATTTGTTGAATGTAGACGTTTGTCCAATGCTTTAAGTGCCAATGCTCTATATTTAAAAACATTGATTTGGCATTAATATACAATGTTAAATATCATCATAAAATACAAAATAATGTATATTGTACGATTTTTACCTTCGTCTTTCGGCCTCAGCCCTCGCACTTCCTGGCATAGGAGATGCATTAACGTGTAAAGAACTTTCCAAATCCAAAGCAAATCGTCTTCTTTTTATCGGTTTACAGCATCTCAATAGAACTAATATATTGAATACTAATTTTGAGATGATTTTGATAGGTGGTCTATTAATTATATGGAGAAAATCAAATTAAGTTTTTGTCGGAACAAAAAAAAATAAATAAATAAACATTGATCAACATACTGCATGAATTCTGGAAAGAAACTAGCCATTGAAAAAGTTTCACTACGATCTCCACGTAATCCATCTTGCACTTTGAAAAATCTAATGTATGTCCAAGATATGAGCCATCCATATATCACAAATAAAAATTGCGATTGCGTTTCGAATATGAGGAAATAAGCAAAACTAAATATGACGAATATGGTGGGAAAATGCTTTATTTATTTTGTACATTTTTTTTTGATCATTCGACATGGATAGTAAATAATTAAGATTGGTACAATAAAATTTGATTCATTAGATAACACAATTAAGTTTAATGTATTACCTTGACACGGATTGATAATGGAGTTCGGACCAGATGTTCAGGTACAAGTTGTTTTAATGCAACTAAAAATCCACATATAACACCAACCATCCCATTCGCCTGTACTTCAAACCTATAATGTAAATCAAGGATGAATTTATATTCCTATAACACATAAAATAAAGAAATAATGCGCATTTAAAAATGCTTAGCATATGATGTAATACTTACAAATAATATTCATCTCCTGTAATAGCATATTCCAATAAATATGTTAAAAAAGTTGCTAAAGTAACGCCAATAAGAATTATTCCAACAAATTTCAAAAAATCCTTTGACCCCCAGGCTCTTTCTAAATATTTCCCACATGCTGCCATTGTTATAACACTTCCTATTAACTAAAATTAACGTAGAATTTTGAGTTTGATCTATTTATATTTGTATACGAATGAAACATTTTATGACTCACCGATATAGGATCAGTTTCTAAGAATCCTGCAGTAAAAAATGTCCAAAATTTTTGTATTGCATGACCTGGAACTAGTGCAAAATCTGGCAAGACATCTGCAAAAGAATTTTCGATCAAGCTATGAAATTTTTTTAAAGCCCCAAGCGCCGAGGTAAAAACTATAAGAAAAGTTAAAGTTTTCACAGTCGGCGGTACATTGGTAAAATGCGTCTTATTTTGGAGAAAGGTATATCGATATATATATTAGATATAATTTCGTTACAGCAACAAGTTAGAAACAAATGGTTACCTACCCTCCAAGTTGGCATATTTAAAGCAAGAACTTGTAAGATTCGTGTTTGCGGTTCAACATCAAAGAATATTATTTTAGTATCTACATAATGTTTATATTGGAGTTTAAATCCACGTTTTCGTAGCATGGCGGACAATCGTCGTTACACGAGCTTCCGGATTTGAAAATCGTGGCTCAGTGCCAATTCGGCCAATTAAAATATATTAGCTTTTGCTTTCGCTGATGCGATCCGAAATACTTTTAAAATTACTAGTTTCTTTTTACTATGTGCATAAGCGTCCTTGTATTTGTTAAATATATTAAAAGAAGTAAGCTAAAATATTTAAGAGGTAGTTCGCCATCAAAGGGTAGAAGAATCATATAAGCATCATAGTAAAAATCGGCGGACATTACTTATAAATTTTAATAGTGGCTGGAATCCCAAAAGTTTTTCACTAGGGGTACTATGAAAACTATTTTTTCTTTGACCTTCTAATTAAAGTTGTAGAGAAGGTCTTTGCGGTTCTAATGATGGTAAAATCGCTAACATTGACCCAGTACACCACAAAATATCAATGATTTACATTTCACGATCATATGAAATTTTCAGTTTTATCAAAAAATCCCGACATCCAAAATCTCGACAGGCTATAATACTGACTTCGCGCAATGTAACAAATAAAAATTTAACGTTAACAATGTAATTACTGTGGCAGATTAAAATGAAATCAGATTAAAAGATAGTGTAAAATAGATAAACCATCGAAAAATACAGGTTTTATAATAAACAAGTTAAGTGGGTTTTAGAGGGCCAAATAGAAACCTCTCATTTCATTTTAATATACAGTATATATATATATATATATTTTTTTTAAAAAAACTAGCCTCTTTGGGGCTAAGGTTTTTATTCAAGTTATTGGATGGGAAGGCATACAACAAAACCCCCTATTACATTAGAGAGTATATCTAGCCACATATATATTTTTGATGTCTAATTTAAGTAGTCTGCCTACTATTGTAGAGTCTATACTATGCAATACCTGTAACCCAACTATGGGTGTTACCTATTTAAACCCTCTGTAACACAACCCACTTGTATCACCAGTACATCTCTGTTACATTTGTCAGTCAAGAAGTCCCAGATGCTTTTCTTATTCTCTTAAGATTACTTTATTCTTGAGGTTAGAATTTTTTAATTTTCTTTATAAAATATAAATTATTAATGTATTGGGTCAATTTTAGTAATTTTATTATTATTAATACTGCAAAGACCTTCTTCACAACCTTAATTAAAAGATCAAAGAAAAGTTTACTTAAGAGTATATAGATCATTTGTTATATGATTTTAGTAGTACAATAAGATTTATATTTAAAATAAAAATATGTTACTAATAAACCTTCTTATAATTATAATTATTTTTAATCAAAATTTTATAATATATAGAACAAAACATCTTTTTTATAATAGCAAAATTTTAATATATAAAATATTCAAAAAATTAAATTTTTATATATAGTAAAGTTTGCTTCAGTGGGCTCAAATTTGTCACAGTTACACAAAATAATTAATTTTGATTGGTTGATATCATATGATCATCATATGGTTTTTGTAATCAAATTTGATATCTAAAATTTAAATAGTTATATCTCACTAAATATTAAACCAATTTTAATAATTTTATTATTATTAGAATCAGAAAAACCTGCTCTATAATTTTTATTTATTAGCCTAAAATATTTGGCTTAATAAAATTTTGTAAAATTTTTTAAAAAAAATAAATACAATAAGTTTTATATATAATTTATAATTTGTACTTTCTACCCTTAATAGACAATTCTTCAGTAAACTGAAAAATAATTACAGTATAGTATAATGCAATGCAGTTTTATATATAAATTTCTTAAGATAAAAATGTTGTGTTTATTCAAAAAAACATTTTTCTTACTAAGTAAATTACCTTTTAGTTTCTAATAAAAGTTGTAAAGCTAGGTTTAGATCGCAGATAACTCTTATAACTCTTGAGTTAGCAAGGGTTCTGTCTAAGTCTCTAGTCTTAATAACTTATAGATATAAAGTTCAAATAATGTAATTTCTTTATTTAATTATTTATAAAGAAGTTTAATTAAATTTTAATAAAGATAGAGGCATAGCCTCACCTTTAAAGATTATTGTAAAAAAAAAAAAAAGTTATAGAGCTTATTAAGATGCATTTAATAGTAGTAAGATTGTTAAAATTGGCTTGGTAGTTCTTGAGAATCGTTAAAAAACAGTTTGTAGAATATATAAAATCTTCTTTAAAAAAATTAATTTTCTTTAATTAATAATTCTCCAGTGAACTGAAGAATTTTTATAGTGTAATACAATATGGTTCTATAAGTAAATTATATAAACAGATATAAAAATTTTTTAAAGAAATGTAGTGTTTATCTAAGAAAAACTTTTTTTCTTACTAAGTAAATCATCTTTGAGCTTCTAACAAAAGTTGTAAAGCTCATCAAGACATATTTAATAGTAGTAGGTTGTTCTTGAAAAATCTTTAAAAAAACATTTTGCTAACATATAAAATTTCTTTAAAGAAAATCAATTTTTTTAAAAAGGAAATTCTAGGCATCTCTAATCAGGGATATATAACTTATATATTTCTGGCTTATTTAACCAATTAATGAATAATAAAATCATATGACTAAAGCTCATATATTAATCAGATTGCTGATACAAAGTTCAAATAATATTACCCTGCATTGCCATATCTGAATAGACAATAATTATCATCAATTATGATTAGTGCTCAGTATAATCAAATAATTATTTGATAGTCAAATATGTAGTAATATTTGACGATCATAATTTTTAAATCGGGTAATACATAATCTTAATCTAATACTAATTAACTTTTATTATTATATTGTACTTTAACTAATATAAAGAATCTAAGCAAAAGTAAATTAGATTTTTAGATTTAAGATTTTCTAAATTTGTGTTAAAATAAACATAAGTAAGGCTTTATTTTAAAAAGTTTAAGTCTTATTTTTATTATTAAACACAAGATCCTCTGATAATTTAAATACTCTAGTAAGTAGAATATTGCACTTATAATAGGTAACCTTGAAGAATCACTTGTAGAGTTAAATAAATCATTAGATTTTTAGATTCAAAAGCTATACAGTATGATTTGTGCTGCTGTTAATTCTAAGTTTTGTTTAAAGGTGTCATTGAGCATCTAGTTTCTTGTTCTTTTCTTCTAGTTTTAGAAATTAGAGGAGTATAATTGCTTTTGTTATATTGTTGAATTTTTGAATAAACATTAACCAATGTTCTTTTTTTTCAGGTATTAGTTAAAAGCGTTCTTTGAATTTTTTTTCTGTTCTTTGGCAGATTTAAGAGCTATACAGAATGATTTGTGCTGAGTTCTTCTACCTCAAGCAGTTCTGATACACAAATTACTAACACGTATAATGAAGCCATTCTCAACAGTTATTACTGAAAAACACTTAATAAAATTGCAATATGGATTGTTAAGAATGTTCAACATTAATTAATTTGGTTCTAACAATTAATATGTACAAGTTAAAATTACTTCTTTGTGGATTCAGAGATGGTTTTACTAGAGAATCATTTTGGAAAATATATAATAAGTAAGCAAATACTATTGTAGTTATGAAGATTAAAATTCTGATGAAATTCTTAGTAGTTATAATCCTATAAAATGAAATAAGTCAATTGGTAGCTATATAAACTGCAATGATAGCTTTATTTTTCACTAAAAATGATACTATTCTTTTCTCTATTTTGAATCGTATAAGTAATTCACAATATGGTTTTGTTTTTGATGATCTTTGGATTTCTGATAATTTTAATCAAGATAATGAATATGAATATAAATATTATACTTATAAAAAAGTAATCACAATACCAGGTTGTTTTTCAATAACAAAATACAAAGTATTTTAAATTCAAAATAAATAAGCAAATAGATTACTTTATATATAGTGTTATATTAGCAAATTTTATTAGTCAAATTTATTTAGATTATATATATTTTATTAGGCAATTTTTATTAGTCGAATTTTATTAACAAATTTTATTATATATTTATTATATGGGCTAGGTGCTGAGAAAAGCAACCAAATTG